TGTATAGGGTTTCCAAGGAGCGACTGGTGACCTTGAACTGCCGACCTTGCAGTTCAAACCGACCTTGTAGTCCAGCGCAGTAACCTACAGCACCCAGTTACTTTGTGTTGTTGATAAGTGCCACCAACTTTGTGGTTCAAGACAACCTTTCAGTCTAGTGTTTTATCCCACAGTGCCACACCAGGACTCCTCAAGTTACTTTAGAAGAGACGAAAATAAGTAGAACTTACGACCTGATGAGAGAGACTATCATGCTGGGCAGAGCAAGGTAAGACTTTGGTGGAGGGAGAGTCCATCCTAATGAAGGCAGCTGGGGCCAGTTTCACAAGGAAAGTAGGTTCTGACTGAGTCCCACAGGGAGGCAAGAAGGGGCAGGCAGGTAAAGAGCTGGGCTTCTGGAAGTGTCTGCAGAGAGGTGAAGCATGAAAGGATGGGACCCTCAGCAGTCCATCATCCCACTGCTCTCACTGGATAGAAGAGGCTCTAGCTTCTCCAATGGTCTAACAGAGTTTCCATGCCTAACTACTTCCTGTCCTCTGCCCAGAAATGTCCCGGCCCCAGACAACTGATTCATCCTAATCCCGGTGCAGGAGTCTCCCCCTCCAGGAAGGCATCCCGATTTGGGCCTGGATCCCCAACTCTGGGCTGGCTGACCCTGTTGTCAGCCCAAGCCCAGAGCCTGGCCTAAGAGGGTGCTTAGGGACCATGTGCTGCACCCTGCTGGGAGGGACTGCTGAACAGAGATAACACCGAAGGAAGGCAGAAGGCTGAGGATGGAGTGTCATGACTAGGGGCTGGGTAAGAAGGGGCCCATGCAGACAATGGAGGAGAGACAGAGACCAGAGACCATCATATAAGTGGGTCATAGAGGAGACACTATAACTCCTTCTTCCTTAGATTTTACTGTAATGTATAATCTCTCAAACCGGCTGTACAACCAATCCCCGGAGTACTTATAAAAATCCAAATTCCCAGGCTACTCCTCTTCCATTCAAGAGGTCTTGGGAGTGGCCTGGGAATCAGTGTTCTTAACCAGCCTCTGTGGGTGGCTCTTTGACCAGCATTTGGGAACAGCTGCTCCAGTGCATGTCATGAAACTTTGGCCTTGAGGGCCTGATGGCATTTTCAAGTCCTTTCAGAAGAGCAGTCCCCAGTGTGTGTTCTGTGGAGCACTATTGCTCTTAAGTACTGTTGAGTTGGTTTTGACTCATAGCAACTGGTGGGTTTGAACTGCCAACCTTAGTTTTGCATTAAAAAACAGATTCCATGATCTAAAAGTTATCAGAATTGCCGTAGGCCGTTTCCCTTTCTTGTAGAGTCACAGTACACAGGGACACATAGTAAAGGGTCTGAAAAGTACTGCAGTCAATACATTATTTTAGGCTTGCTCAACCTTGGCCTTCCCAAACTCTTTGGGTCTGCAAGTATTATTTCACCAACCAAAGCTGGGAGACTTGAGGACTGGTCATCTGGAGTTACGGCCCTGCAGGACCAATGAATCCCTGCTTGTGTCCATGCTGCCCTCCCTCATTCCCCGCCCCCCTACCATGCCCCTGTTGGTCTGCAGAGAAGGCTGTGCTTTTGGTCTCAGGCTCCAAAGCAACCATTAAAGAAGGGACAGTGACCTGACCTCATAGCCAATGGGGTTCCACCAAACATTGGGATTTGACAGCAGGCTAGAAAACCAGAGCATAATTCAAATCAGCTTTAAAGTCCCTTAAAAATAGGTTTCCTCATCTGCTTCCACGTAACCATGGCATGAAATGAAATGTCTACAGAGTGGATAGACAGAGTTAGTCTCCCTGGTGACGTTTTGTAACAGCACATTTAAAAGGCTGAGGATTTTCAAAGAAGCTAAGCTTCATTCACCCAGTTATCCCTGTGTGGCCTTGATTATAATCCATGTCACCAGCACCAGTCACAAGGGAAGGGAAGCACCTTTGGAACTACAAGTGCCAAACGAGCATAGCAATTTACAAGGAGGAACTGGTGGGGGGCTGTCTAATGAGACCGTTCATTCTAACATGTCATCCAACCAGACAGGACTGTCTGGGGCCCAACGGCTAGACTCAAGTCCCCGTGACTGACACTAGCTACAGATAAGAGGGTCAGCACCCACCTGCAGGGGCCGAGGAGAGTGCCTTGTCACCAGGGCCTTCGGTCGGGGGCAGAGCTCTGAGCAGTTCCTGGTGGTGATGCCTGTGTTGTAAAGATAGGGCTCAGACTCTGTCCATCCTCCAGTCCCCGTAGCCACCCTGAGAGTCTCAAACAACTTTAATTCACTCATTTCCCAATATTTGTAGAAGGCTTCCTAGGTGCCAGGCAGTGTGCCAGGAGCTGAGCAAGCAGACGCCACCTGCGCCTTCAAGAAGTGTCCTGCCTTCTGAGCGAGCTGCGATAAATCAGGGATACAAGACTAACTCTTGTCTTCTAATATTTCCATTCAAACCTTCTCACCTGTTATACAGAAAGTCAACAATGAGTAGTGGTTCCGGATATGGGCTATTAGAATCAGACAGAACCGAGGCATCAAAATGACTCTACATTTCTTAGTTGTGTGACTTACACCTCTACTGGAGTCTTAGATTCTCATTTGTAAAGTGGGGATAATAACACCAACTATTTAGACTTTGTGAAGGCAAATAAGTGAATATACATTAAGTACTGGCAAGGTACAAGGCACATAGTTAGCTCTCAAAGGGTGTGATCCCTGGTTATAAGCTAGTAACTGAGGACTCAGTAGGACAAAGGCTAAGCTTTTGTCAGGGATCTGGAGTCTGGTGGTCTGGATGAGTCTTGGCTTTTGTGAGACCCCGGTCTATCTGTGGACATTTTCTCTTCTGCAAAATGAGAAATAATGATAGTTACCTCCAATGGTGGTTGTGAAGGTTAAAGAAGTTAACACATACAAAAAGTAGTGGACAGTGCTTATTCAATGGCAGTATTTAAAATAGAATTATACTTAATACCATTTTGGTATGTCCAGCTTTTTAGCAATCTGTCTTTGACAAGAGACTACCAGAAAGCTGTTTGCTTGTGCTTTATTGACTGTGCAAAGGCTTTTGATTGTGTGGATCATGACAAGATATGAACAACCTTGTGGAGAATGAGTATTCTGGAACACTTAATTGTACTCATGAGGAACCTGTACACAGACCAAGAGACAGTTGTTCAAGCAGAACAAAGGGATGCTGAATGGATTAAAATAAAGAAAGGCATGCAAAATCTGTACACTGAGCAAATAATCCAAGAAGCTGAAGAATGTGGCATCAGGATTGGAGGAAGATTTATTAACAAGCTGTGATATGTAGCGGATGTAACCTTGCTTGCTAGACATGAAAAGGACTTAAAATATTTACTGATGAAGATCAAAGACCACAGCCTTCAGTATGCATTGCATCTCTATGGAAAGAAAACAAAAATCCTCATCGCTGGACCAATAAATAACATGCTAAATGAAAAAAAAAAAAAGATTCAAGTTGTCAAAGAATTGATTTTGCTAGGATCCACTATTAACACTCATGGAAGCAGCAGTCAAGAAATCAAACAATGTATTGCAATAGGAAACACTTCTGCAGACGACCTCTTTAAAGTGTTCAAGAGCAAAGATACCAGTTTGAGAAGTAAGGTGCACCTGATCCTAGCCATGACATTTTCAGTAGGCTCATATGCATGTGAAAGTTGGATAGTGAATAACAAGGAGCGTAGAAGAATTGATGCATTTGAGTTATGGAGTTGGAAAAGAATATTGAAAGTACCATGGACTGCCAGAAGAACAAACAAATTTGTGTTGGAAGAAATTCAGCCAGAATGTTCCCTAGAAGCCAGGATAGTGAAACTTCTTTCATACTTCAGACATTTCATCAGGAGGGACCAGTCCCTGGAGATGGACATCATAATTGGTAAAGAAGGTCAGTGAAAAAGAGGAAGACCCCAAAAGAGACGGATTGGTGGCAGCAGCAGGCTCTAGTGTAACAATTGTGAGGATGGTGCCGGACCAGGCAGTGTTTCGTTCTGCTGTGCATAGGGTCACTATGAGTCAGAACTGACTAGACGGTAGCCAACAAAAATCTTCTACAAATGAAAAGACACTTGTACCACCTTCTCCTTTCTTGTCTTCTTTATTTAAAAAAATTAAAATAGGTAATTCTTTTACTTCTCAGTTAGATCTTCTATTTTTCACTTCCTGTATTACGTATTATCTACTAAGAGCTGTCTTTGGGAGTAAGCAGTGGCAAATGCCTAGTGGCATAGTCATTTGCTTGGCAGCCAAGTGAATGGGATCAAGTTGAGGCTCTCCTGCTTATACAAATAGTCCTGAGGCCTCACTGATATCTTGTTAATGGGTATGGAAACTAACATCAGCCTCACGGTCTATAGAAAGCTGGGAAAGTAACCCCATGCTGATTATTGTGGGGAGAGAGTACAGCAAACAGGTTCAAGTCCAGAATTAGACTCCCTGGGTTGGAAATTTTGGTTTCAACTAGTAGCTGTGGAATCTTGGGTGGGCTTCTTAAGCAATCTGTCTCCAGTTTTCTCATCTGTAAATAAGAGGACCTTCTCCACAGGATTGCTGTGAGGATGAAGTGTGAGCTTAGCCAGTCTACAAAAAATGTCCAGTAAAATTAGTTATTATCATTCATCTCACTCTATCGCCACCCTCATTCTCCCCCGCCCCGCCAGTTTCATTCATCTTTATAGTTCCATAGTATCTAGGAAAGTGAGCCGCGGAAGGCTGCTGAATGCAGAAATGATAGCAGGAGATGAATAAGTACAACTAGCCCAGGTTCAAAGTCCTTCCGGGTTACCTCACTAGCCGCTGAGTCTTTTTAGGGCCTGCCTGGACTCTGGCTGTGTCTGTCTTACTGGTCTGGTTTAGATGAGCTTTATTTCTGAGGATATATTTCAGGCGGTCTGGGTTTTAGTGCTAAATTGAGGTAGGTTTGAATCTCACTTCCTCTTATTAACTGTAGAATCTGTGTATGTTATGAACTCTTCCGAGTCTCTATTTTTTCATCTGTAAAATAGGATTAAATCCATCTATCACTCAGGGTTACTGAGCTGACTAAACATGATAAATGTGAAAGAGTCTCGCATTTTCACATCAAAAAAGTAATGAGTAAAAGGTGATGCCTGCCATTTTGTTTTATTTGACTTGGGGTAGTATATTTAAAAGTTCCCTAGTTGAAGTTCAGTCTTCTTTGAATTTTAGCGGGACCTCCGAGCTTTGGTTTATAAATGATTACTCCCAGTACCAAATGCATTTGCCTCACAGACTTCTGCTCTGCCTTTGTGGGGGCAGTGGCTGCTGCTCCTGTTTGTCTGAGTGGTACCCTGATTCTCAGGTCCTGGGGACTGAGCTGGGAGCATGCTCTCTGTGACCTCAGCAGTCTTACTGGCCTGCAGGGATGTCCTATCAGGGGTTGCTGAGCCCAGCCTCTACATCACCATTTTTTAACACTGCCATCGGCTGGCTTTTGAGCTCAACAGACTGGGGCTTCCCTACTTGCTTATTTGCTGTGTGTCCCTGATGAACACAGCCTCTCTGAGCCTCAGTTTTCTCATTTGTAAAATGAAGACAACATAAGGATACATGAGACAATGATGTGGGTCCGCTTGGACAATGATGGACCACTTCCAAAGTCCTCCCTCCAAAGCACAGGCAGGGTTGAGTGAGATATTACCAAAAGTCCTTTAAAGCATGAAAGGTGGCCTACACTAAGAAGAAAAAACCCCACCTGGTACAGAGGGAAAAAAATTCCCAATTCCCCCCATGGCGAGTTTCTATGGAAGTGACATTGATGTGCCGCTGACACAGTTTACGTCAGTATCACTCTGCTGTATGTCACTGTGATCCTACTGAAAGGACGCTAAGTGAAGCCAAAGGTGGGCCAGACTCCTGCTGTGCTTCTAAAACCACCTGACTCCAATTCTAACCAGATTTGTAATCGTTTAAAACTACATTTGGTGATTTTAAGAAAATGTTAGTGAATAAGCAAATTTTATAAAGCAATGGATACATTTTGGAGACGAAGCTCACTTCATCTTACTTAATGAACTGTCTCTGTCTTATACAATTGTGTTGAATATTATCAGTGATTCTCAACCTTGGCTGAACAAAATACACCATTGGGGACCTTAAAAAAAATACCCCTGTCCACCTTAGACTGATTAGAATCTCTGGAAGATGAGGACTTTAACAAAGCTTTCCAGATTATTCCTATAGTCTGGTTGAGACCACTGGGTTTGGCTGAATCTCAGTACCAACCATATGCCTGAATCACATAGTTGGTGCCCAAGGCTGTGGGGCTTAACCCTAGTCACACATTGTAACCCTCAGAGGAGCTCTTACCTCTCCCAGTAATCCCCTTCCCCAGACACTTGTGTCTGGCTTCTCCGTGAGACTCAAGCATCAGTATATTTAAAAGTTCCCTGCATGCTTCCTGTGAACAGTCACTGAGAAGCACCAGACTAAGGGAAGCAGTAAAAAGAAAGAGAAAGAGAGAGAGAAAAAGAGAGAAAAAGAAAGAAAGAAAAGAGAGAGAGACAATGTGTTCAGTAAAATCTTAGCTCACACCTGCATTTTGCAGCAGAAGCCCGAGTCACATTATTTAGCTCTGAGGTCACCTGCTATTTATCCGTGCATGGTTTATCTGTGTTGAGTATAAATTATGAGCCAGTGTTCGGGACGCAGGTAAGGTTGTGGTGGTGGTTGTGTGTTGTTGAGTCGGTTCCGACTCAGCGATCCTGTAGAGGGGTTCTGAGGTTGTAAATCTTTGTAGGAGCAGAAAGCCTCATCTTTCTCCCATGGAGCACCTGGTGAACTTGAACTGCTGATCTTGCAGTTAGCAGCTTAACAAGTAACCCACTAAGCTACCAGGTCTCCTGCAGGTAAGGTGGTGATGTGTGACATTGAGTCGTTTCCGACGAATAGAGACTCTATGAGGCTTTATTGGTGCAGAAAGCTTCATCTTTCTCCCACAGAGTGACTGGTAGATTCTACTTCTAACCTTGCGGTTAGCAAGCCGGCTCGTAATACAATATGCTACCAGGATTCCTGTAGGGAAGGCTGATATTGCTGTTAAGTGCTGTCAAGTCGGTTCTGACCCATAGTGACCCTGTATAGGGTTTCCAAGGAGTGAGTGGTGAGTTTGAACTGTCGATCTTATGGTTCAAACTGACCTTGTGGTCAATTGCTTATCCTCCAGTGCCACACCAGAAGTTACCTAACATTATTAAGTACTTAACCATAAACCAGGTGTTTGACCAACATGATCTCATTTAATTTGCAGTTAAGTTAAGTAAGTATTCCAGTTAAGCAGGTGATGTCATCCAGTCTTCTTAGATGAGTACCTGAGGCTCAGGGCGGCCAAACCACTTAGGACATGGCACTTAGCTGGTACATTTGGCTCCAAAGTCTGCACCCTAGGCTTTTTGTCTACCCCCCTCTATCAGCCTAGATAAATGAAAGCTGGCCATATATCTCATTCTAAAAGGATGATCTAGGTGTCAATTTCTCCTTGATATAATTTTCAGTGTATCTCCTTTCAATTTGGCAGTAAGTTCTGAAGCAGAGCTATGATTACTGAATGTTTCCAGTCAGTTCTTTACACAGTGAAAGACAAGAAGAATCAGGACATGGATGGAAAAAACAGGCACAAACTTAGGGGCTCTGATACATGGCATAATTACACTATCAAACATAACTGAAAACATACAGCAGAAGACTAAATAGATGACTGGGACCTCCTAAAAATTAGACACTTATATGCATCAAAAGGTTTCACCAAAAGAGTAAAAAGATCACCCACAAACTGGGAAAGAAATGTCGGCAATGATATATCAGAAAAGGAACAGATCTCTAAAATTTATAGAGCACTTCGACAAGAAGACAAACAATCCAATTTAAAAATGGGCAGAGGACATGAACAGACACATGGCCAAAAACATATGAAACTCACGAGCGCTAGCTACTTGCTGTTAAGTGCTGTTGAGTTGGTTCCAATTTATAGCGACCCTGTATAAGGCTTTCAATGAGTAGCTGATGGGTTTGAACTGCCGACCTTAAGGTTATCAGTCCTGTGTTTATCCTACGTTAGCCATTGCTGTTCTAAGTGCCATTGAGTCAGTTCTTACTTATAGCAACTGTATATTCATGGAGTGGCTGGTGGGTTTGAACCACCAACCTTGTGATTAGCAGTCTAGGGTTCACTCTACAGCGCCACACCAGGACTCCACATTAGCCATTAGAGGGAGGTAAAATCAAAACAACAACAAGAAATCATTTTGCTCCAGCATTAATAGCAAAGTTCCAAAAAAAAAAAAAAATCCCCACAAAAGAACAAAAGCGAACAAAGGTGTGGAAAGTCTGGGACCTTTCTACATTGCTGGTGTGATTCTAAAATGGTGCAACCGCTGTGAAAACAACGTTTTCTCAAAAAGTTGGAAATAGAAATACCCTAGGAATCAGCAATCTCTCTACTTGGTATAAATCCCCAAGAAATAGGAGCAGTGACATGAATAGATATCTACACACACCCAGGGTCACTGCAGCTCTATTCACAATAGCACAAGTATGGACACAGCCTAGACAGAGGGCCATCAGTGGAAGAATGGATACATAAACAACTTTGGTCCAAACACACAATGGAACACTGTGCAACACAGAGGAACAGCCCATAGCATGGAGGAACCTGGAGGACCTTATGACGACAGTGAAATTAGTGAATAACAAAAGGAGAAATACTGTAAGAGACCCTTATTTTAAAAAGTCTTTGCAAGCTTTTCATGCTAAAAGAAACCTGTGAGTGTTACCAGGAGTGGGAGGGAAGGAAGAATTATTCACTAGCTAGAGGGTGGTTGTTGTTAGCACATGTTAACTTGTGTGATGGGGAAGACAGTTTGAAAATAAAGAAATAAAATTTAAATAAATATTAACTCTAATAGGGGGAAAATATATAAAAAGAACCAAGGGAGGCCATGAGGGGCTCCTGCCAACCTTAGCACTGACAGTGACATATGTAGGGAGGAGGGAGTGGGTGGCCCTAAGTGCCTAGGAAATCTCCGTGGGCAGCTAGACTACACTGTCAAAGGCTAAGGCTAAGCCAGCTCATGGCAGGCCACGATTCCTAAGTCCTTAGGCCACCAGGTAGACTTCTAGCCTCAGTTCTGTCAGGCGGGACAGTCCTCGGTGGCCTGTCTGGTACAGCCTGACCGGTCTTCCTCTTTGGTCCCATCCTCTCTACTTCTGCCTCTGGGTTTCCTGACTCATTTCCCTGGAACGCTTTTATCTCAGCTACCTGTTGGTTTTCCACTTAAGGGGAGCCTTCCCTTGTTTCCTTATTTAAAATCATCCCTGTACCCCAGAACTCCTTGTCCGCCCTCTTCCTTGATTTTGCTCCATACCACTTGATTAGCTGTTTCACCCTTCAATGTCCTTGTTTACTTAGCATATGGTCTATTCGCCCATCTATAATGTAAGTCCAGGAGATCAGGGATTTTTGTTTTGTTTCACCCCGGTGCCTACTAGAATGCTGCCTGGCATACAGAAGACAGAATAAATATTTGTTAAATGTAAAAGAAAGAAGAATCAGGAGTGGGAACGAAGAGACTAAAGTCACGCTCAAGTGACGTTGAGGATAAGTAAAAAGTGAAAACAAGGCAGATTATGAAGAGGCTTGCCAATTATTCCACCCAGTCCCTTGTGCCTCCCATCCCTTAATGTGTAAAAATAGACAAAAGATATGACCCACAATTTGCAATCCCTTCCAGCAGAGCTGGCTGTCATTAATGACAGGTGGGTTTGGCCCACCTCACAGCTCTGACAGCTGAGGGCTTGTGGATACAAAGGTAGGACCTCCCGTTTCTCTGCTAACCTCTCCTTAAAGGTCTTCAGACACAAGTAACCATGACCTGATGTGCAGGGTCTTTTAAAATTACATTACTAATGCTGCACCGTATCAGCAATTCCAAGAGAAAAAAATCCTGAATAACTATGCTTTGATGTATTCTGGGCTTCTTTTTTTCCCTTTTCCGTTTAAAATAAAAGTCTGAGTTTGCAGAACCCACTTAGAAAAGATGGCTGAGTATCTCAACACACTATGATGGTATAATAATGAAAGGTCCCCTTTCCAAAATGTTACTATGTGGTCTGGGTCACATAAAACATTATTTACATTTTTAAATCCTCATTAGGTTTCATTTTCCTCATCTTGCATGAGAGAATGTGTCTGAGAGAAGGGAAATTACTTGTCCAGGGTCTCACGACTAGTAAGCTGTGGCCTTGGAGCACCAGTGTGGGAGCCCTCTGCCAACCCTTACCTCAGCACCTTCACCGTCTCTATCCACTGTGCCTGCTCACTCTCCCAGGGGTCCACCCGGATCCAGTCTGATGTCTGCAGGGCCAGCTGAGCCATGGCCACCCGGTGCTTGGCCGCCACAAGGTTTTTCTTCTTGTAGTTGTCATTGACGGGGGAGATGATGCCCTCGACTACCTGATATATTCCTAGGGAAGACAGACAAGAGACATTGTGCCCACACGGCAGCCCTAAGTCAGGCAGGTGTCCCAAATCTCCATGCCTGGTTCTGAGAGAATGCAAGCAGCCCTCAGCAGAAGTCCTGCTACCGAGAAACTGGCTAAGGAGGGGATCTCAGGACAGGCTCCTCTATAGCAACGTGGACAGTTCAGGTAGAAGGTCTCTGAAGAACATCACAATGTCTTTTTGTGTAGGGCTTAACAGAGACACCACTGTCCTCTAATGACATAGTGGACATAGTTCATGTAGTTTCTTAGCTTAAAACAGGGAATTTTGTCAATCAGAGATGTAGGGATGGGGTTTAGCATGGGATGGGCTTGGTGGACAGAGCCCTAGTGGTAGAGTGGGTTAAATTTTGGGCTGCTCACTACAAGGCTGTTCGAGAGTTCAAACCCATCGGTTGTTCCTTGGGAGAAAGATGAAGCTGTCTGCTCCCATAGTGATTTATAGCTCAGAAACACTAGATAGGGTTGCTTTGAGTCTGAATCAGTGGCAGCAGTGGGTGGGCTTGGTGAAATGAGGCATAAAATGCCTGTAAGTACCCACCATCAACTTTGGAGGCACATGTTGCTAAGGACAGGAAGGCCTACTCTCCGACTTTGGAACAGACATGGGCTGGGTCAGTGATGTTGCCTGGCTCAAGAGTTAGGGCATGGGGCATTTTAAGTTCAGAACTACAGTGACTCTGAAGAAGCGACAGAGAACCACCGTGGGAAAAACATGCTTGGGGCTTGAGAACCTTGGAAGCAAGCTCCAGCTCCATCACATACTAGGATGTCTTAGGCACATTATCAGGCTATTAAACAAATAAAAAGCAAGACATTTGAACTTCAGTTTTACCATCTGTAAAATGGAATAAATAATACTTGCTTGGCAGGATCTTGCTCTAAGCATGAAATTAGACAATGTTTATACAGTGGCATCCTATTTTACTTAGTATACAATGTATTTTTTTTTTTTTAATGTATCATAAAATAGAGCGGGCACATAAAAGGGCAGAATGCACCAACAGTTTGCAAATAGTTGTAAAGTATATTCTGTTTTATCCGTCACCTAACTCTGGTTGTGGTGGTGGTGATGTGCCATGGCGTCGGTTTTAACTCATAACTACTCTGAGTAGGGTTTCTGAGGCTGTAAATCTTTAAAGGAACAGAAAGTCTCATCTTTCTCCCACAGAACTGCTGCTAGTTCCAAACTACTGCCTGTGAGATTAGCAGCCCGACTCGTAACCACGATGCCATCAGAACTCCTTCACCTAACTCTAGAAGTTCCCTATTACAACTGTGACGAGAAGGTACTCACTATCTTTACTTCTATAATATCAATTCTCTTGCTTTGCTTCACTGCTTCACCGCATACCTGCATATCCTTTAGGAACAGAACACAGATTCGTTTTCCTGCTTTAGAACATTTTTATAAATAGAAATCATACTGAACGTATTCTTTTGTAACACCATTTTCACTTTAGGCAAATAAAATTGCATACAGTCCACCTAGTTCTATGGCTGTATTATATTCCTTGGTATGACTATATACTAAATAATTGAGCTATTCTATTTGTAGGGAGACCTGGTCTGGCACTGTGAGTCAATGCACCAGACTGCAAAGCTGTTTGAACTGCAAGGTTGGTGGTTCAAGGTTGCCAGCTGCTACTCGGAAACCCTATACAGGGTAGCTATGGGTTGGAACCAACTTGATGGCACGTAACAACTATTGGTAGACTTGGTTTAACTCTGGTTTAGGACAGTTACAAACACTGCTGTTGAAAAAAGTTTTGCACGTCTCCCTGTACACACCGTGGGCGCATTCTGCTAGCACACATGATGAAGAGGGAAAACTGCTGGGACACACAGTCCAACAATAGGTGTGTTTCTAGCTTCATTATATATCACATTTGCTGCAAGTTTTCGGTTGATATTATTTTTCAGTTGTGGCAGAGACAATACAATATGTTTGTGAAGAACTCTTTGGATTTCTCTTTCTCCTGGGTATATAAGAAGCTAATATTTCTCAGTTCCCCCTTGAAACTGGGTTGGGTTTCTGTAATTTGACAGTTATGGCCAGTGGGATGTGGGTGTCTCATTCAGACTTTGCTATAAAAACTCCACCATGCTCCCCTAGCTTTCTCATAGTGCGTCTGGAAGCCACACGGTAAAATGGCAAAGCCACAAGATGGAGCCTAGTTAGAACCCCAAGACACTGCTTAGAAGGAAACTGCCCTGTTGCTCTTCTGACCTACATGGGATTTATCTGATGAGAGAGAAACTTCAGTGTGTTAGATCACCGAGAGTTAGGGACATCTTGTTGCAGCCTAGCCTATCCTGACAAATATGTGACTTTGAAAGAGATATTCCCGGCTATTGTGGCTGAATTGTGCCCCCTTCAACAAATAAATTATAAATCCTACTATAGCTGTAGATGTAATCCCATTTGGAAACAGAGCTTCCTTTTTTATGTTAATACGACCACTTCAGTGTCCAGTGTGTCTTAAATCACTTTTCAGATGTAAAAAGAGCGCATTAGTCACACTGAGGAAGGACAAATTGGGAAAGACTGATGTCATGAGAAGAGCCCCAAGGAACTGAGGACTAGAAGCAGAGACCAGGATCTTTGTCCAGAACCAGCAGAGAGAGAAAGTGTCCTAGCTGTGAGAGAATACATTTCTGTTTGTTAAGGCTACCCACTTGTGGTATTTCTGTGATAGCAGTAATGGATAACGAAGACACATGCTATTACTAGTTTAAGAGCATTTGTCCTAAATGCATGTTGAATATTCATCAGATGTGTTTTTCTGGAACTCTTGAAATGATACTGTGATTTTCCTTTGTTAGTTACTTGTTACCTGCTGGTGAGTCAGCCTTTGCATGACACATGGTGACTCCATGCTCAAGGTTCATATCACTGTGATCCATCATTGGCTAATTTTTCAGAAGTAGCAAGCCAGGCTTTTCTTCCATCTTAGAGCTCTGCTGAAATCTACTAAACATCATAGCAACACACAAGAGCCTACGCAATGACATGAAGCCACAGTCAGGAATTGAACCAGGATCTTCTACATGGTGGTTATGTGCTGTGGAGTTGGTTTCGACTCATAGTGACCCTGTACAGGGTTTCTGAGGCTGTAAATCTTTACGGGAGCAGAAAGTCTCATCTTTGTTCCATGGAACAGCTGGTAGTTTCAAACTGCTGACCCTAGGGTTAGCAACCCGATTTGTAACCACTACGCTACCACAGCTAGAAGACAATAATTCAGCCACTGAAGCATCACCTTTCTCAATGAATTATACTGATTAATGCTCTAATCTTTTACTAACATCACATTCTTGAAATAAATGTGACTTTTTGAAGATACATCTTTCATGTGTTAAAGAGTCCTGGTGTTGTGCTACAGGATAAGCATTCAACCATAAAGGTCAGTTTGAACCACAAGGTTCATGGTTCAAACTCACCAGCTGCTACTCAGAACCCCTATACAGGGTCGATATGAGTCAGAACTGACTCGATGGCCCCGAACAACATGGGTTCACTTTGCTCCTGCTACTTTTAAAGGAAGTAACACAAGTCTATAATTTTCCTTTCTCTTTTGGTCCTTATCAGATTTTGGTATCAATATTAAACTAGCTTCATAAAAAGGTGTGAAGCTTCCTGTTTTCTATAGTAGTCTAAAGAGCTTGTGCAGAATTTTTTCTTGTGCTTTGTAGAACTCATCAATGAAGACTCATGAGGCTGGAGTATAATTTATGTGAAAAAATTTTGACTATTGATTTAATTTCTTTAATGGTTGTAAGATGATTAAGATTTTTTATTTCTTCATTATAATTTTTGGCAACTTATGGTCATCCTAGGATTTTGTCCATTATTCCTAATATTTGAAATTTACTGACATAAAGTTGCTTATGATATTCTTTTATCTATTTAATGTCTGAACCACCTATAGTGATGTTCTGTTTTCATTCCTAAGGTTGGCTGCGTCTCTGTCTCTTCTCTTTTTCTTTGCTCAACGCTGGTGTGGCACTACAGGATAAGCCCTCAGACACAAGGTTGGTTTGAAACGCAAGGTTGACAGTTCAAATCCACCAGTCACCCCTCAGAAACCCTATAAAGGGTTGGTTCGAGTCAGAGCCAGCTCAATGATACTTAAACAACAGCAACAACAAATGTTGGTTGTATCTCTTTCCTTTCTCTTTGCTCAATACTAGCCAAGGCTTGTCATTTTACTAGTCTTCTCAAAGAACCAGCATTCGGTTCTATTGTTCTATTCTACTGAATGTTTACTTTTTATCTTGTCAATTTCTGTTCTTATTTTTATGAATTCTATTTTCCTGCATTCTTTGGGGGATGTTTTGCTGTCCTTTTGGAACTCCATGTGATGGGTGTTCAGCTAATGAATTGCCTCTTATTGTTTGTTGTTAAGTGCAATCTAGTCAGTTCCGACTCCTAGTGACCCTGTGTAGGGTTTCCAAGGAGCGACTGGTGGGTTTGAACTGCCAGGCTTACAGTTAACAGTGCAGTGCTTATTATAGTTTGTCTAATTTCCTAATTCACACATTTCAGGCTATAAGATTTCCCTGTAAGCACGCTTTTACTTGTATCTTACAAGTTTTGATATGTAGTGTTTTCATGATCATTCAGCTAAAAAATATTTTCTAATGTCTATTATGATATTGTTTTTGATCCATGAGCTATTTAGAAGCATTCTTGCTTATTATCAAACATAACGGGGATTTTTCTTAAATAATTAAAAAAAAAAATATTCCTAACTTAGTTGCATTGTGGTTAGAAAACATATTCCATGCAGTTAATCACTTGAAATGTGGTAATACTTGCTTCATGTTCCTTTATATTCCAGGAAGTGACAATTTTGGTACCTATAGGTGACAGAGTATGTATTCTGTGGTTGTTGGGGGCAGTATCTGTCCATTCAAGATTGTTAATTGATTTGTTTCAACCGATTTTCCTACTTTTTTTT